TATCGGCACACCCACAGCTAGGGGGTGTGGTGAAAATGCAAATTTGAAAGTTTTGTTTCGATAATTTTTAGGATTTATTTTAATGAAATGACAATATTCTGTAGTTTTATGAAGCATTTTTGCCCTCTAACTTAATTAACAAAAAATAGGATCAAAATTAAAAATTTCGTTATGCCTCCTCTGGGGGGTCACCACTTCATAAAATCCCCCCGCCCGCAATAAATTTTTTAGAGGGGTTTGTGTTATCATATTTCCTTCCCCAAGGAATAGGCAAGATATTTTGAAGCGATTGTGTCAGAGGTCGATGCCGACAAATTTTCGGCGGCGGCGGCGCCATTTCTTGGTGATTTTTCGGCGGCGTCGGCGGCGCGGCGCGGCGTCGCAATGTTAGAGGAATAGGAAACCAAATTTTTCGGCGGCGGCGGCGCGTAAAATTCATCGGCGTATGGCGGCGCGGCGGCGTGAGATCGGCGGCGTCGACCTCTGGATTGTGTTATTAGGAACAATCAAAAATTTCATACGTGACAATGATTGGAGAACTCCAGATATTTTGATTATGGCAATTTGCAATTACATAAATTAAAATCTCTCTACCTATTTGTAATTGTGGCAGCTGGTGGCAGCAGTTTTTGTAGATGAGATATGGGGGATTAATAATACATTTACGGTTCCTCGAAATAGCACAGAAATAGGCAGGATTTTCAACTTGAAGTTTTACCTATTTAGCCCAATGTTATAAGCCAAGTTTGAGCATAGGCCACGTCTTAGCCAGTTGGACAATTCAAATGAAACTTTCCAAAATTGAACATCTATGTCAAAGGTACTAAAAACGGTACTTTGTTTTTGAATCCGTGAGAATAGGTTTTGGCCAACAAATTCCATATTCCGGATTAACGTTGCAACGTTAAAAAATCCCTTTACCAACGTGAAAAAACTTCCTTAGCAACGTTAAAAAAATTTAAATATGGCCTGTCTTTTATACCGGCTCATAGGCTAGTATTACTGTATTTTAGGGTAATGATAGAAGACGTCTTCTCATCAAGGGGAGCTCATGAACCAAAAACTTTGACAAAATTACTCAAAAATCCACTACTTTCATGTAAGAAGCTCAGAAAATATCTATTTAGAAATGTTAAAATCTTGTAAATAGCGACCCCACGTGTTTCTGGTGCACTAGTGTTTGACTTATTTCACGTTATTGATAAAACGCCTCCTTCATCATTACCCAAAAATATAGGAATTTAGTTCTTCCGCGGGTGGCGATTTGTCAGTGTAGCTTAAATATTCGTCTTACTTATGTAAATCGTTCCAAACACCATGAATAGCATTGGGGCGAAATATGTCATGTACGAAAGCCACACAAATATGGACATGGATGCCCCCACGCAGACAATATTTTAATTGATTCCAAACCACGTTGGGAGCATTTGTCTCGGGTGGAATTCATGGTGTGGCGAGAATAACAGAAACATTACGGGGCTCATGGGTGCCACGTGGAACCACAACATTTCCAGAGATACGATGGCATCCATGATACTTGAATATGTCGACATTTTGCACCGATTCGAGTTAGGCACCCACGTTTCTAAAAGAAATGGTAAAAAGTAATTTTCAGAAAGATTAAGACACAATTGTTGAATCGCACTGGAGTAGATATATATCTAACAATGCGATGACGCCAACGGTCTCACTCCGATTTGGATGAAACTTCGATAATTATGTAGCCTTAGGTAAATAATTGAAGAAGTGTTTCGCGATTTTTCATAATGCTAAGTTTAAACAAATTTATAATGGTATAAGTGGCCGAAAATTCGCATTTTTCTCATGAAGTTTTTCTTTTTTTTGTTTTTGATGGAGAAAAATGCAAACTGTAGGCCACTTATACTATCATAACTTTGTTTAAACTGAGCATTATGAAAAATCCCGAAACATGTGTTCAATTATTTACCTAAGGCCACATAATTATCGAAGTTTCATCAAAATCGGGGTGAGACCGCTGGCATCATCGCATTGAAAGTACTTTCAATGCTGATTTTATTACATGTATACTTATCAATAAAATCAGCATGTTTGTTATATATGTTGGATAAGCTTATGCCATTTTCCGCATTTCCTACAAGGCATCATACATAGATAGTGCTACTTTGATGCGATGATAAAAATGATAAAAAGTCTGCAATGTTTTTGAGGTAGAACTAAACCCTGCCTGTCCCTACAAACTAATCCTAGGATTGTTAAACATCAAAGATAAATCTCAGCTGATGTGACCTGAAATTAGACTTTCAATTTTACTTCATTAATTCTTCTTAGGGAGTTTTATTTCATTGAGTGCACCTGCCCTTTGCTACATATGTTTGTGATTAGCAGAGAGGAACTAAAATGAATGAAATAAAATTTACGTTTTTTTAAATTTTTAATGACATGCAAGCGTATTACTCACATACCTGTTCAAACAAACTTTTTCATTCAAAGTTCATTCAGTCATCTCGATTTCTGGTTGAAAATTTTCATTCATACTCAGTCATTTTCTTTCAAACTCAATTCATTTCACTTCATCTGACTTCATTTCTTACTTGGGCCCATGTATTAAGCATAGGGTGAAAAATGAAATGAGTGAGAAATCCTTTCATTCACATTCACTCATCTGAAACGACTGAATCATTCAGTCATTTTCATTCAAATCACAACAAATTAATTTTCATTCGCTATTATTCTCTATCTATTATAATCCGTCACATGAATGAAATTGAACAGGTTTGGTTACTCACTCATGCGTTTTACCCTCATACATAATTATCCCCACATGATTGAGTCTTACTTCAAAGTTTTTCAAATTTTTGTACCTATGAATCCTGGGCAGTAGTGGAACATGCAGTTCACCCCGGCAAACAAGTCGGCTTGACGGATCAAGAAGTTCGCCAAAAGAGAGGCCGTCAGACCTGCGCTGCAACAGGCTAAATAGGCCGTTGGAAAATCAGCATTGCTTTCCCCACCTTCGTACAACCAGAGTTGAATCGTCTTCATCCAGGCGGCTATTATGAATCCGGTAAATATCGAAACACAAATTCGAACCTTTCTCAGCAACCTTCTCGTTGTGTAGATTTGTTTCGTTCTTTTGTCATAGTGAGGTGGGAATGTTCCCATGAACGAGGTCGATTTTGCGGTAAGGTGGAGCAATTTTTGGAGAAAATCTGAATACATTTTGCGACAGAAAAGTATGTAGGTGTCTGTGCTTAGAAATAAATCCAGTGGTGGGTGAGTTTTAAAATGTGGAACAAGGGCATCCTTTTTATTTATGGACACTATTTATAAAATTTTGTACCGATGGATAAATATACGAGCATATGGATTAAGTTAATTGGTCTGCAATTTCAAATTGGTAAATTGGACAATTAACTGAAGAAATAGTTCTATTATACATAAATAAATACTCAAATTCCATTTTTTAAGAGAAATTTTCAAATTTGATCTCAAATTTTTTGACAAACAGCTTCAAGAAAGGGTAATTTGTGTTCACTTGGACCACATAACTTTAAAATTTAAACTCCACGTCAGGCTGCTAAACTTCACACCTGCGCATTGTTACACCCTCGGCCGTACACAGTACCGAAGGCCCCGAACTATATTTTACACAATATTTAAATTAAGTTTTGCTATGAACAAAAAAACATGGTGAAAAGCTGTATCGAATTGACTTGGGAAAATTTATTTATATTTAGTAAAAAAAAATTTCTACAGTTATTAAGTAATTTTCCAATTAATAAATGTGAAATTATAAACCAATTAACTTAATATATACATCCCTCATTACCAAATTGACATGTCCATAAATATTTAAATGGGATGCCCTTGTTCCACATTTTAAGATATAAAACTCGTCAACCGCCCTATTTATTTCACCGCATGTAGATGTTTACACTCACCTAATTTCCTGTTGCAAAATGTACTCCTATTTTCTCCAAAAATTGCTTAACCTTACCGCAAAATCAACCTCATTCGTGGGAACATTCCCTGTTCACTGTGACAAAAGAACGAAATCGATCTACACCACGAAAAAGTTGGTGAGAAAGGTTCGACTTCGTGTTTCGGTCTACACCGGATTCACAATCGTCACCTGGTTGAAAATGATTTAGCTCTGGTTGTACGAAGGTGGGGAAAGCAATGCTGATTTTTCCACGGCGTATTTGGGCTGTTGCTGCATGGGGCTGAACGTCTGGATTTTGGTGAACTTCTTGGTCTGTCAAACCGACTTGTTTGCCGGGGTGAACTGCATGTTTCACTACTGCCCAGGATTCATAGGTAGAGAAATTTGAATAGCTTCGATTTGAAAAAAAATACATTTGGACAGCTTTGATAAAAATCTGATAAATTTGAAAAATTTGTCAGATTTTTATTATGAAGTAAAGGGTACCGATTTAGTTCGTCCCGTTAATGGGAGGAGGATCATTTTTACAGGAAAAATAAATAATTTCCCATTAATGTTTCCTAAATTCTGATAAATTTCCATATCGATTCCACTTCGTGGTCATGTATTTACCATCGTTTGGGGAAAGTCAGGGAAAGTATTTTGGGCCACGGTGCTGATGTTTGTCGGGTTACTTTTCTGTAAAGTTACATATTTATTAAGCAGGATACGGACGCAAGTGCTTACATACTTACATACGTATAAATTTTAATGCATCCTGCTATTGTTTGGAGAAATGTACGATGAATACTTAATTAAATAAACTTTCTATGTAAATATGTATGTATACATACAAAATACAAAGTGCACACACTGACATTAAAAGATGAAGAAAATATATTTAAAAAAACTGACAATGGAGGTGTGCCAAAGTTGTATGCTCAAATTAAGTAAACTGTATAAAATCCACAGCAAAATTTGTTTTTTATGAAGCCCACGTTAAATACTGTAGATCTACTGTTTAATATAATTAGTTAATTTTGAATTTAGAGGGCATATATTTTTAAAAAAGGTAGCAATATTTTTAAGAGTGTGGGGATTATTAATAGCCAAATTATCATTTATTTATTTAAATTTAGTTAACACGGTTATCAGCATAATTTTGTAGCACACAAGTTTTTAGATTCTTGATTACATCGATTCTTGTATACAGCAAGGAGGTAGAAGACTCCCGCGAGCAGAATCCCTACCGTCCCACCTACGACGAGTAGCACTGACGGCAAAGATAACCTTCTTGCCTCATCCACGTCATCTTCACTTCCGGCACGTGCAGCGCAAACATCAGTGGGGTCAAATTTTAAGTTACTCATCTCCTCCAAATCATTATACGGAAACAGTTGAACAGTTACAGATTGAAAAATGACCTCTACAAAGCGGTTGTCATAACTTCGGTCAAGAAACCAGGCCGTTTCAGCGCAATAGGATTGGTTGCCGACGTCCGCCTTCGCTGGTCGGACACCTTTGGGTGTCATCTCTGTGAAAAAGTATTTGCAAAGTGAGTACATAGGTTACGTCATCAAAAATTCTCAATTTTAGCAACCACCCAACCCACCCAAAGTATACATTAAGGGATAGGGAATTTAAACATGGGAGAGATAACAAGACCTAAATCGCCCACCCACTAAAATTATGACCTAACATATGGACATTTTCATGCAATGTTTTAACCTGCCTTTCCTAAAGTTATTTTCGCTGTATTCACATATTTGACTACTTCTGTAATTTATACATAAGTGTTTACACTCTTAAAAATACTGTTACCTTTTTGAATAGTAAATTTTACCCTCAGTTTTACATTCAATTAGCTATTCTAAATCTAAATAGTGCAACGTTAATTTGATACAGAGTTAAGTTTCCTTTGGATTTTGCATAATTTACTTAATATAAAATTTAAACTGTGTTTACTTTTCAAAAAGGTGACGATATTTTTACGAGTGCTTGCTTGGTGCTAAATACATCCCCAAATTCAAAAGGTTTGGGATAGCATTTAATTTCGCATTACCGTCCAGAAATTAATTAATTCCAAATTAAATTTTCTTTACGTTTTTTGGAACTATTTTAAATACAACAATTTTAATGGGAATGTCAAATTTTTGTACTCAACCTTTGGTTATTGAACACAACTACTATTCATGCCTGTTCAGAAAAACTTTTCTTCATTCAAAGTCCAGTCAGCCAGAATTCTGGCTGAAAATTTTCCCTCAAATTCATTCCATTTCACTTCATCTAACTTCATTTCTTACTTAATAAAAGGAGTGAAAAATCTTTCATTTAGTCACTCATCTGAAATGACTGAATCCTTCACTCATGTTAATTCAAATCACAAGAAGTTCATTTTTATTCACTATCATTCTCTATCGTAATCAGTCACATGAATGAAAGTGAACAGGCATGCTACTATTTAGAGTTTTTGTATTTATGTATGTATCGTTACCAAAATAAATTCCATATCCTGGCACCACTCCTTGAATGGAGACCCTGTGCATCCAGTACTGCCCAGCATGGGGATCATATCCAAACGAAATGTGAAGATTTCTTCGGTTCGGTTTGTCCATCTCGGCCACTTGAGAGTCAAGGTTTGTGTACGGGATTGGAATTATGATCTGCATAACTTTAATTCTCCCGTCTTCTGTCGCAACAGAAGATCGTTTCCTTCTTAATTTTTGACCAGGGGACGAATCATTGTTCGAATAACGGGGTGGGTGTTCCTGATAGTTTGTAAATGAATTCGGTAGAAAACCTCGCAAAATGAATGTTTCCCACACCTCGGGAGGATAAGGGAAAAAATCTGTCATGGAAATGACTATATCGGTTAGCCAGAGGCGGGTAGCGTTATTGGACCATCCAGGGAACGTTTTGCGTAATTCGGGGGATAAATGAGTCACGAGGGAAGAATCGTTATGACGGTTGTGGTCTTTTGTGGCGTGAACTTTCCATGGGATTACGAACCAGGGTAAAATTATGAAGAATTTAGGGATTGAAAAATTTCGCATTTTTTAACCAAGTAATATTTACTAACGACAAGGTGGCAGGAGGTCAACTTCACGTAGAAATTCTGGACACAGTTTGACTCACAGCCAGAGTTTGAGCAGGTTTGTAGGAGAAAAGGGTAAATCCAAGTAAAATAAAGGTACAGAAGGCCCAAACATTATTATTTATTTATTCATTAATTCATTTATTTATTAACTTCAGCTCCGTCAAAGTTTGAGAGGAGATTTCTTGGAAAAGTGAGTCCTAAAATAACCCCGATTATCTCTCAGAAAGGTCCACAACCCATAAAAATAAAATTCTTTTTTTGCATAATTCTTCTTTTGTCATAAGCTGGGAATGTTCCCATGAATGCCGTCGATTTTGCGGTAAGACATTTTGGGACAGAAAAGTAGGTGTATGTGCGTAGAAATGAATACGCGGTGGGTGAGTTTTATGCATTTAAAAATGTGGAACAAGGGAATCTTGTTTATTTGTGGGCACGTCAATTATAGTATATTTTGGATGGATGGATGAATATAATACATCAGTTAATGCCCACGTTACTCTAGATTTAGTATAAACAGTTAACCTGATTTTGAATTTAAAGGGCATTTACTTTTCAAAAGGGTGGCAATATTTTTAACAGTGTGAGGATTATGAAAAGTCAATTTATGCATATTTATGTATTCATGGTTTATTTCTTTAGTTATATGTAGTTAACACGGTTATCAGCATATTTTGTGACACACAAGTTTTTCGATTCCTTATTATATCGATGCTTGTACACAGTCAGAACACAGAAGACTCCAACCAGCAGAATTCCTACCGTTCCACTAATAACTAGGAGAATTGATGGTAAAGATAGCCTTTTGTCCTCATCCATATACACGTCATCTTCAGTCCCGGCACTTGGAGCTCAAACATCAGTAGGGTCAAAGTTTAAGTTACTCAGTTCCTCCAAATTATTAGAAGGAACCAGCTGAAAAGTTAGAGATTTGAAAATGACCTCCACAAAACGGTAGCTATAACTTCGGTCAAGAAACCACGCCGTTTCAGCGCAATAGGATTGGTTGCCCACGTCCGCCCTGGCTGGTCGGACGCCTTTGGGTGTCATCTCTGTTCAAAAAGTATTTGTAAAGTGAAACCCATGTTTTAACAGACTTTTTTAAAGTCATTTTCGCTCTATTATTAATTTCGTAATTCTATATTTACACTCTGAAAAATACTGTTACCCGTCTGAGAAGTAAATGGTCAGCCAATTCAACATTCAGTTCAATATTCTAACTCCAGAGTAACGTTAACCTGATACAGAGTAAAGTTTTCTCTGGATTTCGCATAATTTACTTAATACATATAGAATTTAGTCGGTATTAACTTTACAAAAGGGTGACAATATTTTTAAGAGTGTTTAGTACGTAGTGTTAAACATGACCCAAAATTTAAAAGTTTGAGGACAGCATTTAACTTCACATTCGAGAAATTAATTCATAAATTAAATTTTAATTATTTGTTATATAAATTTAACACAACAATTATTTTGAGTGTTTCTATGTATGTATGTATCGTTACCAAAATAGGATCCATATCCTGGCACCACTCCTTGAATGAAGACCCTGTGCATCCAGTACTGCTCAGCTTGGGGATCATATCGAACGGAAATGTGAAGATTTTTCCGGTTCGGGCTCTCCATCCCGGTCGCTTGCGGGTCCAGGTTTGTGTACGGGATGGGAATTACGATCTGCATGAGTTTAATTTGTCCGCCCTCTGTCGAAATAGGGGATCGTTTTTGTCTCAAGATTGTATCATTAAGGGATGAATGATTGTTCTTCGAAATGGAAGGGTATCTTCGATAGTTGTCGAATGATTCGGGTAGAAAAGATCGCAAAATGAATGTCTCCGACACCTCGGCAGGATCATGGGAAGTATCTTTCACGGAAACGACTATATCGGCGGAAAAGGTTAGCCAAAGTCGGGTAGCGTTATTAGACCATGCAGGGAGCGGTTCAGGTAATTCGGGGGATAAATCAGTCAGGGGGGAAGAATCGTTGAGACGGCTGGGGATTAGAAGTTCAATCGAATCTTTTGCAGCGTAAACTTTCCATGGGATTAAGAACCAGAGTGAAATTATGAAGAATTGACGGATTGAAGAATTCGACATTTTTAAGCAAGTTATATAATAATGACGAGGTGGTTCTGATTTTGAGAAAATTTGTGCACTTCTGTGCACAAAGGGGTTGAATGAAGACCGTTAGCGTGGAACATTTCTATATGTATGTAAAAATAATATCGTATTTTTCAGTAAGCAGTGATTACGCTGCAGATATTGGAAAAATTTTATTTTATTAAATGTGTAAGAGCAGTTTATCACTACGTATGTATGCACAGATTAGAACGTAAATAAGTTATTTACATATTTATGACCTATTTCTTACACGAAATGATCACCAGGTATAAATATGTCATAACAGATAACTTGTTGACACTTTGTTGATATTACTATATTTACCGTTATGGTACCGAACCTCAAAATATTTAGCAAACAATTTCCAATATGTAAGAACTCATCATAATTCTTGGAGGATTTGAAGATTTTTTTCTGGATGCGTATTTAATAAGCAGAATTTCCAAGGATGAAAATTTTTGACCTGATTTCACGCATAGATACATATATAGTTTAGTTTGCACGAACAAATTTACGAAAGATAGGCTAACTTTGGGATGACAAATCTTAAAGCTAATCTGCATATTCAACTGTAGAATACAAACAAATGCAATTGCATTTAAAAATACTTTCAAATATTTTGAAAAAAATATACACCTACTTTTCAAATATTTACATTCATGTATGTACTTGACCATTTTCCCTCTTATTTGTCGTGCTAAATTTGCACTCCAGTACTAGAAATGGGTCGTAGTTAAATTTATTTGTATATGATGCATACAGTCTAAGAAATGGTATCACCGTTCTGTGACCATATAGCCGGGTCAAGAGACCAAGATTCCAAAATTATAGCCGAGTCTGCAACAATTACAATGCGATAGCGCCATCGGTCTCGTTCCGATTTTGACGAAACCCCGATAATTATGTAGCCTTAGATAAATAATTAAACACGTGTTTCAGGATTTTTCATAATGCTCAATCCTCAGTTTAAGCCAAGTTATGATTGAAGACGTGAGCGAGAATTTGCATTTTCACTGTGCAATTTTTCTCGCAAGTGAGAAAAATACAAATTCTCGTTCACAGATTCCGTCACAATTTCGTTTCAGCTGAGCATTATGAAAAATCTTAATAAGTGTGTTCCATTATTCATCTAAGTCTACATATTTATCGTGTTTTCGTCAAAATCGGAGCTAGACCGCTGGCCTCATCGCATAGGTAGTTAGTTTTGAATTTTAGTCCCAGCCATCAATAGAGTATTTACATATTTTTACTTACAATTAGTCTCTGAATTAGATAGCTGCTCCAGAAAACGCATCCAGCAAGATTGCTTTACCTATCGTCAGACGAGCCCGAATCGTTCCAGTAATCATGTCACGAAGGGATTTAATTCCTGTCAACCGTTTAAACGTCATCACTCCCTCGACCCCGATGGCCATTGGTTTTATCGGTTTTCGAAACTTGTTGAATATTTGCTTCTCCCGTTTTTCCCTGAATGATATGGAGTCCCAAGATTCCAAAGTTTTCACCGTGTACGCCCGAAACGCTCCCGAAACGTGGAGCGTGGCAGACCAAATCATCTGCAAGTCGATGGATGCAACGGACAAAATGACCTGTTTAAATTCGAAAAAATATATTTCACTTAAAATTGAAACGTAATCGGCTTTCCAGGAAACTTAGGAAATTCAAACCACTGCAGTGGTGCACTGAGAGTATTAAAGGGTCCACTGTTGATTTCTAGTCACATAACTTTTAATTAGAATGTAGGAATCCCAGCGCATGGTCTCAGATTTTGAGTGTAAGGGGAAGCACTGAGAAGAGGCAACCCTTGCTGGGTTGCAGGAGAGCGCGACCGAAAGCGTGAAGCGAGTTGGAAAAGAGTGCTAGCTACATATAGAGACCGGACGATTAGAACGCCGTGTCTGTTCAAAGTGAGTAACCAAGGAATAAGTGGAACTTGGGCTCACTGGTTAATAGTTAAGAAAGGCCATGCATTTAAGAGTGGATGCGTGATGTTGCAGGATAAGACTAGGAATGAGAAAGCTCAACTGAGCCTTGACCAAAGGGTTAAGTGCGTATCCTACGTTAGTTACACGAGGCTTACTTGTGTTGTATAAGAGTTATCTGGTGGACTCAGGAAAGTAGTGGTTGGCACGGGACAGCAAATAAATATTTGAATAGAGATTTATTTAGGTAAGGAAGTAAGTTAGAAGAAATCGGGCTCAGAGCCGCTAACTCCTCGCTGGTAGCTGCCAATCACTGGCTGTTAGTATCTAGAGAGCGTAGTTATACATACATGTACATGGAAGTTGACTCGTCGCGAGTCAACAACATGCAATTGAGAAAGGGAACTCGGCCGCTAGTTAAATATTTTCCTTAGGTGGCCTTCACGGCCAGGCCAATCTATGACCTCGCCTAGATTGATAACTTAAATTAATTAAGTCAACACGATGGAATTCGCGTTGTGTAGGTTACATGGGCCAGTTAAGGTGAATCGATTATAATATTTGTTCTATCGTATATTAATTTGGTCACAATCTGAGGGGATACGCTGAGACTTCCACTGCGAAGAATGCCGCTTACCAAGCTTAGAGTTATACCTACTCTCGTTTTATTACTCATATGATCTCGCGGTAAAAGGGTTTGCGCCTGGTCCACACAGTTCGCAAGCACTCCCATTCAAAACCCTATGTCTCAGGTTTAAAGTTGTCAAGCTTTGAATGGAAGGGGTGCGAACTGTGTGGGCCAGGTGGAAACCTTTTTATCGCGAGATCGTATGAGTAATAAAACGAGAGTATGTGATTGGCTTCAAATAGAGCCAAGTTCGCAAAATTTCGCCGCGCCTAACGTGCATATATATTTTTGTTTTTGAACTACCCAGTGTTGATCTATCCAGTGTTTCCCAATTGCTTAAAAGTGCAAAATTGCAGAATAAAATGAGATGCCCATACAGGCCGTGCATAAAGACAAAGGCCAGCCCCGCACTTTGCATCATTATCGAATGGATTAACTGCAATTTTCTATATTCCATGAGTAAATTTCTTGGCCGCCGTAATACTTCCGAGGCATAATGGACAACGGTAGGCTTAATGTGTAACTCTCGCATTACAAGGGCCAGCGGGACTGGAAAAAGTTTTAAAAATTGTTATTGTTAGTACACTCTTAAAAATATTTCCCCTGTTTTGAAAATTTAGTGAAGTCTAAAGTTTATATTATATAAGTTACTTTTGGTAACAGTAGTGGAACCCTTCTTCAAGGTACACCGGGGTTTTCTAACGAGTTTGATAAGAAATCAGGCCAAAAATTAAGAATCGCGTGACACTTATCATTCCGTTGAACGGCCTCTTCGAAGAAAAATATCTGCGAATAATTCACGCGCCGTGAAGTAAAAATCGTGAAAGAATCTAAGCTAAAATCGAACTTTGCCGTAAATATTTTTCTTCAAAGGGGCCATTCAAAGAAACTACACGGAATTATAAGGAATTATAATTATCATCACTTGATTCCTAACTTTTGATCCGCTTGTTCTATAAAACTCGTTAGACAATTCAGATATAGCTTGAAAAAACATTCCATTACAAGTATGTATATATTTATCTAAATATACATAATTAACTGGCTTAAACATTAGTCTGACTTACTTATGTAAATCGTTCCAACCACCATGAACAGCATTGGGGCGAAATATGTCATGCACGAAATCCACCAAATTAGGGCCATTGAGGCCCCCACGCAGAAAATATTTTCATTCATTCCGAACCAACTTGGGAGCACTTGTCGCGGGTGGAATTCATGGTGTGGCGAAAATAAGAAAAATATTATGGGGCTCATGGGTGCCACGTGGAACCACAACATTTCCACAAATACCATGGCATCCATGATGTTGGAATATTTTGACATTTTACATCGTATCGATTTTGGCACCCATGTTTCTACATAAAAGGAAAATAAAATCATGCATAGTAATTTTAAGAAAGATTGTGCAACAATTCAATCGGATCGTTCTATATCTAATATATAATTATGCGATTTAATTGTTTGATTGGATTTTATACATACACTAAAAAAGTGATACAGAGCGGCTCTGAAATTACAGATATTCATGTTCAGCTAATCTGCAAAAGTTTGTATTATTGAATAACTAAGTAAATGAAGAAGTAAATGAATAATAATTATTCATTTAATTACTTCTTCGTTTACTTAATTATTTCCGTTACATTTAACGTTAATTATTTATTCACTCGTCCTCCATGAATGAGTGAATTTGAGGAATATGCAAAAAATACAGGTGTGACAAATATGTACGTATATTCAACGCTATACATAGGCATCAAAGTTCTTGATTTAAAAAAATATAAATAAGTACCTATGAATTCTGGGCAGTAGTGGAACATGCAGTTTACCCCGGCAAACAAGTCGGTTTGACCAACCAAGAAGTTCGCCAAGAGAAAGACGTTCAGAACCATGCTGCAGCAGATCAAATATGCCGTGGAAAAGTCAGAATTACTTTCTCCTCCTTCGTACAACCAGGTGACGATTGCGAATCCGATATAAACCGACACACAAATTCGAACCTTTCTCAGCAACTTTTTCGTAGTGTAGATTGATTTCGTTTTTTCGTCATAGTGAGCAGGGAATGTTCCCACGAATGAGGTTGATTTTGCGATAAATAGTAGCAATTTTTGGAGAATCTCGGAGTACATTTTGCGACAGACATGTAGGTTTATGTGCGTCGAAACAAAACCTGCGATGGATGAGTTTTACATACGTATTTAAAAATGTGGAACAAGGGCATCCCGTTTATTTATGGACACCGTAAAATTTTATAAGGATGGATATGGATGGAAGTTAATTGGTCTACAATTTACATTGTTAAATTAGATAATTAACGAACGGAAATATGTGGATCCATTATAAATAAATACTCATAGGAGGAAGCAAATTCCATTCCTTTCGAGGAGAATAATCGCCCATTTTCAAATTTGATGTGAAATGATTTGAAAAACTCAACCATTGCACAAACTGCGTCACGAAACGTAGGTTGCATTCATTAGGACGACATAATTTTAGAATTTCAAATCCAAGTTGAGTGTTACACTTAACACATTCGCATTGTTACA